TTAATACAATCTAGAAGTATTATAGAAAAATATGATGTTAACTTTGGCATTTACGCAATACATTCCGAAGAAGAAAAACACTCAAGTCAAATCAAATTTCCTTGATAGTTTTTGAAGATGCTAAAAGCTTCAGTAAGATATATTTTTGAATTGGATTTGATTACGACTATTCCCTCTAGCTGATAGAATACCTGTTGAAGGATTTTCAGAAGGAAAGTTGTGAATATGATTCTCAAGTTTTTTAATTGATTTGATTTTGCTTAAAACGATATCGATTAGGTCATTCCGAAAGTAATTTCGCTTTTTTCGAACAGACGCCACATACGATGAAACAAAGATTTTTAAGAGATCTTGGTAGCATTCGATGCAGAATTTCATTTTCTTTCTAAGCGTTATGCAAATGTTGCAAAACAGTCAATGACCTTTCAGAAAATAACCAAAACCTGCAACCCATGCTTTTTGAGATGGTCAAATTTTATAATTTTTAAAACTTTCATATCAATCCTCAGAAGGATTGCAAGTAATGATTCGATAGAGTAAACCTTATATAACACAGCACTACTTTTTTCTCTTCCTCGTATGCCCGCCGTAATTTTAAAAAAGATTTTTCAACAGAACCATCGGATTTTGGCAGGTCTATCTCAGCCACGATCGCATCAAACATCATAATTTTTCGGAGTTTGAGACTACCAAGATGGTACTATGAGTTGGCATGCATTTTACAAAGCATGTGAAGGTTTACGGGTTCGAAATTTCGAACCCGTAAACCTTCAGATTTCGAGTTTTTCGGTACAGCATGGGGCTCGCTAAAGAAATGAGTTATGATGATTTCATCCTCGAAAACTAAACGAATCGGAAACAAACACCTGTTACAAAGAGGAGAAAATGCTGCATCGAATAGTGCGTGAGCTGCTCCTCTTTTGATGTTCTACGAGGATTTAGCTGCCCAAGTATGGAAATCGGTAGCATCAGTTAAAATTCTGTTAAAAATGTATCACAAGCTATGGAAAGGAGAAAAAGTAGTACTGTATACTATAAGGTTTAATCTATCGAATCATTACTTGCAATCCTTCTGAGGATTGATATGAAAGTTTTGAAAAATCATAAAACTTGACCATCTCAAAAAGCATGGGTTACAGGTATTGGTTATTTTCTGAAAGCTCATTGACTGTTTTGCAACAATTACATAACGCTTAGAAAGAAAATGAAATTCTGCATCGAATGCTACCAAGATCTCTTAAAAATCTTTGTTCCATCGTATGTGGCGTCTGTTCGAAAAAAGCGAAATTACTTTCGGAATGACCTAATATATTAAAGAACTTTATCATGAGCTAGAAAAAGGCTCAGCACAACTCGATGGAGGGTTTGGTTGCAGTTAAAACATATCATTTCAAGAACAAATAACTGTTGATAGCATGAAAACCAATAATGAGCGGACCTAGGGATAACCCTTTGTAAAGTAGATGCTATTTCCACTGAGGCATTTTTTGCGAAAAAATTTCAATAAAGCTCTACTATTTTCTATACACACAGATTGCAGCAATTTTAGTGTAAAATTTCCGCTTGACAAACAAAGTCGTTGTGCCATACTACTCAGATAATCGCGGGGGGCGTCCGCAAACTCGCGGTTTCTGCAGGCGGTCAGCAGAATTTTGGGGCGTGGCCAAATCTGCAGCGGGCGGCACCTCCTTCACTGTCGAATGTCCTGCTAGCGGGGCAGAATACAGAGTTTTCTACGGACGCTCGTCAAATAATCCCTTTCAGCGAGCGCTGGCCAAACTTTTCGCAGGAGCTCGGACTCTTTTCAAGCAGTTTCAGGCGTACGTCGAGCAAATGTGAGACTCTATGCTGCAGAGGTGTCATCGATGGTACGCCCGAAGTACGCCCGAAACTGCTTAAAAAGATTCCGAGCGCCTGCGAAAAATTCGGCCAGCGCTCGCTGAAAGAGACTATTTGACGAGAACCTTAGAAAAATTTGTATTCTGCCCCGCTAGCAGGAGACACGAGAGTAAAAGAGGTACAGCCCGCTGCAGGTTTGGCCACGCCCCAAAATTCTGCTGACCGCCTGCAAGAAAACGCGAGTCTGCGGACTCGCCCCCGCGATTATCTGAGTAGTTGGGTATAAAAAGTCGTAAACATTTTACACCAACAGGAATTTCTTGAAACCCTGAACTATTTAGCGATATTACAGCAAAATATGAACAATAGAAATAGAAATTGCAATAGAGAAAATAGAAATAGAAACAATAGAATAAAAGAACAATAAAACAATAGAAATAGAAACAATAGATGCAAAACAAAAATCTACTAAAGCACGAAGAGTCGTCTTATGTTTTTTGTGGTAGAAGTATCATTTGCATATAATGAGGGCAACAGTAAGATTGATGTTCATGGTTGTTCGTAATATCAACTTCATAAATGACGAGAGTCCAATTTAAGTCTGTTGCTGTCGTCATGTTTTTCTCAGTTTAGCATTAAAAAGCGAAGCATAAAAGCCTTCCCATCCATTGCAAAAAGTTTGCGTATTTGCACAGCATCAGTGATTAACATTGCGCGTGAATAATGATCCAGTGAAGTTGCCACATTTTAAATAGCGCAATATTTTCCACAGAAACTTTGCAAGATGTCCCTCACAACCTTGAACTTGGAACCATTTTTATGAAGCTGACTATTCAGTCACAATTTCTGCATCAAAAGAATTTTGATTGATTCAAGCTTTTATCCATTTACACGTATGTGCAGACGGTTTATTGCCCAAGAGTAGGGCTCTACTCTATGGTTTTGAGCTTATCGCTCATCAACATTGAGGTTGTTGCTCTACTTGCATTTGCATGCATACATGAAAGCTTCAGCAATCATCAAATATTCACCTCGAGAGCTTTTAGCAGCAACCTACAAATTCCTTCCCATTTACATTCAGCTATAGATGGTTGATCTGAGTGATTCGTATTTAGAAAGCTTGCTGTTTACTAACATTCAATTGACAAAGGTCTCCATTTCATTTACAGGCACGCGCATATGAAATTTTTAACGTCTCTCGAGTATGTAATGCCTTAAGAGCTTATTAATACTCAGCATTCGATTAAGGAGGTCTTTGCTACATAAAAGTATGTTTATACGCATTAACGTCGATCGATTAAACAGTAATGCATTGCAAGCTTATCATTGTCTCACTGGGATATAAATATGTGCGCCTGTACAATACGTATTAGTCGCCTGCCTTGCAAGCTTGTCTGTTGGTTTCATTAGCCATATTCATCAGCGAACCCAGTGAGCTTCGAAACCCAGTGCATAGGTCAAATAATGCGTTAGTGGATTGAATCCCCAGTGAGCAGCTATCCATTGAGTTCCCGAAAGACCAAAAAGCCACTGAAACGGAATATGCGAGCAAACCCAGCGTGTAGCAAACTCAAACCCTGTGGATCCGCTGATAAATACGGCAACTTCTTATATCCTATTTTTGTTTCGTTGACACTCTTCAGAGAATTAGAGTCAAAAACAAAAAAGTAAAACTTAGACTGAGATTTGAATGAATCTTTTCAAATAGGTCACATGCATAGTCATAGGCTTTTTATAGCCTAACATAAAATTTCATAGTAAGCCTCATCATTCAAATGCCTGTCTCACTGTAATTTTAGCAATTGTTCATATGCATTTCAACAGTTTGGAAAGATCGCACCGAAAGTTGAGTTATAAATATATTCTAATTCTCAATTCTCAAGAGCTTGAGGTTAAAAACAGAATGTTTGAGATTCGTCAAAATTTGAAACAAGAAAAAATTTTCTCATTTTATAAGGCGTACAGCAGATACCATATCAAACATATCGTAAACGCAAGCTTTTCGAAAAAAGGCAATTTGTGCATTTCAAGGTTGGATCTTTTTTGCTGAATACACGCAATAAATTTCAACATTGCAAACAATTTTATGGAGTTTTCTTTGCACTTAAGGAACTGACCGAATGAAAGGTCTTTATAAAATGTTATGATCTTCTATAAAAGTTAGAAGAAAAGTCACTCCTTTTCTATGAATATGCCAGCACCAGTGTTATTATTGATAGACAATAGAAAATGCCTCAGCGAATAGCTTTGAAAGATTTGAAATCCAGTAAATCTTATTGAGATCATTTTACGGCTGTATGTACCGTATATCATCCTTTCTAAACACGCTGCAGAAAGCGGTTTACAAGTATATAGCGCTTTTTTGCATGTTCCTAGTCTGATGTTACAGTGATGAGAGCGATCGGTGTTGTCTATGCTGTAGATCTCAAAGCCAGGCCTCTTTTGAAAAGCTAGACGTCTGACAAAAACACAAGGGTAAAGAAACTGTACAATATTTTTTGTACGAAAATCATGTCGAACGCACATAACACTGGCGTATATTGGAAAACAATATTGAGACGGTGTACACATTATAAACGCAAGATCTCCAAAACTTTTGACGCAAGCATTTAATCTTCTTTAAATTTACTCTCTAAAAGAAAATGACAAATTTTCATAGTTCCTATCCTTTTTGGCAATACGCAAACTCCATTTTGCAAGTTACCAGAGAGATCTCACAAACTTAAAATATTCAACACTATCACATTTCGAGAATGAAAGCAAAATTGAAGCAGCACTAACAACTATCAGCACTAACTTGTAACGGGCCGGGCATACTCAAAGCGATTTCAGTCGCGACGCGATTTGGCAATATTCCAAGTGTCCCTAATTCACTGTCAGTCCATTTTAAATGTACAGTAGATAGGGCATTTTATCAACCCACGTAAGTTATACACATTATGCAAGTGCAGTTTGCTAGTGTTGGATTTGAAGGCTTTTGGCGAATTGCCAAATCGCGTCGCGACTGAAATCGCGTGAACTATGCCCGGCTCTCAAGATGACGTTCCGGAACATTAAAAGTCAACAATCACTTTGTAGTGTCCACGGGCTTATCTTACCAATTCTGTACTATTGCATCTTCAAACAGCATGAACATAACTTTGAGTAGCTTTTTATATATTGTTTCAGCAAACTTTTTCAACTCTGCAAAGAGCATGAAGCTGCTACTTGTGATTGCGTCGGTTTGTTAATCGCATACATTCGTAGTTCTCGTTAATTCATATGTCTTACAGTCACTTTTGGCCATTGCTTCCGCTTCCTTTTGCTGTAAGTGTTTGATGGTAAAACTTAGTGATCGATAACCAAATGTTTTTTTTCAGTCGGCCCTGATTCTAAGGATGGAAAGTGCAGTAAGAACTTGACTATAAAATTTGCAAAACGAACGATTGGTACATACAATGTTTTCAGCTGGTCCTGAATGTTGGTGTGTGGGGGTAGGGGAAGAGTGCGGTAAGATTTTTTTTTACTAATTTCCACTATAGAACCTACAAAAAGAATTGCATCAAACATCTTTAGCTGGACGTCTCTGTAATCCTAATCCTAAATGGCCCCGGAAGTGATGTTCATGTAGCAATTAGTCGCTTTGAGGGCGACAATGTTTTACTCATATTAAGCTTGAGTAAAGTGGTTGCAGATTCAAAATCGTTGATTTCGTGGCATTCAAGGGTTGAGCCAGACTGCGGTCTAACCAAACCGCAGTGACTCGCGAAATCACAGTTGGTGAGAGTATGACTACAAAATACCGTTACTGATAATATGCGGATTTGGCAGTTTCAATGATAAGAATATCCGCAAAAAATGTGCGAATACTTAGATATAATATATTAGGTTGGTTCATAACTAATGCACGTTTTTTCAGCTTCCACTTCAAATGAAGATAATTCTTTTCAAAACGATCTTTCTGAGCGCAACAAAAACTATTATAAACAGCAAACTTTTGGCTATACAACGTATACTTTTGCGTGATTGGACTCATCGCGGGAAAGATTTCACGGCTCAAAATTTACCGAGAATTTTTTCTGGAAAGCTCTAGTTTGAAGGAGCATAACTTACTCTCAAAAGAACTAGATTGGAGCAAACTTTGCTTATTGTGTAGCCGATGGTCGATTCAGTGGTAGCGCGGAAATTGGCTTCTACCAAAAATTTTCTGCGGAAAAAATATTGCCAAGAAAGCAAAAGTACCATTTTCTCCTGCATTTTAGAGAAGGCAAAAATCTGTACTTTTTAGATTCCTTCAATTTTTTCTCAGTTGAAACGAGAAAATTCTGCCGTTTTTCTACTATTAGTAGTTCTTGGTCTACTTTACCAAAAACCAAGTGAAAGTTCTGTAATTGCTTTTCATGTAAGTATCTTATAAAGCTCCTAGTGATCCCAGCATTCAGCTATTGAGCAATTTTGAGTCAAAGCTTCTCGGCTCAGGATTTTCAAAATAATTTAGCCTTGGTGAGCATTTTGTAGCACAAATCTTCGCGATTATAACACATATTTTTTGAAACAAATTTGAGCACTTCTTATAGAATCAGGGCAAGTCGAATGAAAGAAATAATTTTCAAGTTTGAGTTCCTCACCTTTAAAGGCACGGACCTTCGGTCTGAACAAGAATCTCCGAAAACGAAAGCATATGTTTGAAAGCAGAAAAAACGACTTTCCGACAGTTTAGATGGTTCTAGAGAAAAACGATTTTTGATTGAAAACTAGCGTTTGAAAGAAGAGGTAGGAAAAACGTGCATTAATTATGAACCAACCTAATATTTTGTAAAATAGGCTGAAGTTTGAAACAAGCAGACGCGAATGTAAATTATGATGCAGATATATGACATTCTGACTTATTCATGCCAAAGGAACAAAATTTCTACACATGAAAGGAAGTTTTCAAAATGAAAAATGTTGACATCACTCAGTGACACATCGGCAGTTGAGTTCTATGCAACACACGACCTAATCCACTTTCTCTGTTTATACAAGGTGTCCCAAAAAGATGTGCACACTGTTTAATATAAGATAACTCTCTTTCTTTGAAGTCTATCGTCAAGCTTAAGGTACCATTCTCTAGGGCGAAGTTCAACATTTACAATACGGAGCAAATCTCCGATCTTCCTTCGTTACTGTAGGATTATGTAAAATTTCGAGAAGGATTTCAGACCAATGAAGGTATTTTTTGCCTCAGAAAGAAAACCGAACAAGTCAGAAATTCTTGTACTAGACTAGTCAAAGTTGCTGATTCTGAATAAGAAATTTGCACTTTACTGTAATGTTTCTTTCATTACGTTGTTTCAGGTTTGGAGTAACATTCGTTGTTCCAATGTCTGTCAGAAGTGTGATTACACCATTACAATAACTCAAAAACTGCTGAAAAGTTGTGTAGTGAAATCGGCACGCCTGTACCCTTGTTACACAAAATTCCAGATTTTTCGGAATCCTCTTCCTCAAAAGGCCTATTTCACACTGGCGCTGGATGCCGAAAGTTCATACCGTAATTCTACAGCAGCGAAGAGTAATTGGTGATTTGCTCCATACTGTTAATCTAAGTTATATCTCGCGCTACAGCCTGGTACGTCAAGCTCTGCGGAAGACTTGAAAGCAGGAGAATTATTAACGATCAAACAGTGTGCACATCTTTTTGGGACACCCTGTATTTATAATTTATAGCTTTTTTAGCGTAAGTCAACTACGAATTTCTGCCGTGTAAAAAATGTAGAAAGTGGCTCTTTTGCTAGAATGCAGTCGATGTTTACGTTTTTGTTGCTTGTCTGCAAGTCTAAGGATGAGCTGCAACAACTGATTGAGTTGCAATAGGTGACAATTCCGCGCCGCTCCATCCGAATTCTTGACAATTTCACATAAGATAAACATGCTCACAAAGAGTGTAAAAATGTGTTCAAAAAATGATTTTATAAGGAAGACAATAACTACATTATAACTTTATCTCTATGACCACATATCGAGAAACCGTAGCATTTCTGACAGATGTTGAATAAAACATTGGTGCTAATACCGCTATTCTTTGAAATGGCCATGAGTTGATGAGAAGAGTCCTTCCGAAAAGGATACTTGTTTTTGTGTACCGTTGAGTGGCAAGTGCTCCAACAATGTTTGTAAAATACCGCGAAAAGATACAAAAGTAAAAAATGATTGCTGCATAGTAATTTTTTGGGAAATTGGTCTCAATCTCACAAAAGGTTTTCTAACAAATCAGTTTTACAAAAGAGTAATCTTCTCAACATTATTTTTCTTAACGTTCTCTATTCAAAGTCAGTATGCAGCTATTTCTGCTTTTACTAATGTCTCATAGAAGCTTCGAGGCAACGTCACCGAAAATGAAGTCAATGAGATTTTGATGCCTAAAAGTAGCGGGGCTCTCAACTTATACTTGCCTAAATCGCGCTGTCAAAGGTGCTTCCGAAAGAGAAAATTGCTTCGAAGATCGCTTGGTATGACGAATTTTCTATGTTGGCTCCTCCTCCTTGAATGAGCGTGAAGTTCGTCCCGGTCATCCGTGCGCACCCAGTCAATTATCGTTCCGAAGAAACTCGCTCTGTGGATTCTGCTGAACGGGGTTTGTAGGATCTTCGCAGATTCTCGACTTGATATTGGAAATCAGGGACATAATAGGATTCCTGAATGACAGAAACAGGAAGTCGAGTTGGGTGGACGATGCTTCCAAGTTTTCATAATTATGAATTGAATAGAATCTTATATATAAAGCTGAATGTCTGTTTGTCTGTCTGTATATATGTCTGTATGTCTGTCTGTACGTATGTTCCGAATAGAAAATTCCATTTTTGAACCGATCGGGACCAAACTTAGCACACATACACTTCGGGCCCCGGCGGGTGTCATAGGCTACTTTTCGTCATCGATCGATATCGATTTTATCGATTTGGCAGAGGGGTGTAATCGAGCATGCTGATCACCCCCACGGGGGTGATCAGCATGCTCGATTACCCCCCTGTGCCAACTCCCAGCCCCGTAGCTCAAATTTTGCAAAAAATCGATAAAATCGACATCGATAGATAACGAAAAGTGGACTCTGACACCCGCCGGGGCCCGAAGTGTATGCGTGCCAAGTTTGGCCCGGATCGGTTAAGAAATGGAATTTTCTATTCGGAACATACGTACAGACAGACAGACATAGAGACAGACAGACAGACATACAGACAGACAAACTATTCGGGACATACGGCGGAGCCGGGTAAGCCAGCTAGTTTGTAAAGAAAGAGATGTTCTACCAACTAGCAGACATTAGAACTATATCTTGCATTTACCTTGGTTTATCCTCTTTCTTCTACTCTGATGGCAGATTATGAAGAAGGCAAACGATAGATGATGCCGCGCTGCTACTGAGACATTGGGCGGAATTTGATATTCAAACACACGTCCTTCAAAGTTCTGTCGGAAAGTTTTTTCCTGTATCCCGAAACAGGAAATTGAGCCAAAATTTTCGAAGATCCTAATCTTTGTAACAGCGAATTTGCTTATTTGAGTAGTAACAAATTGCAAAAATGTTAATTCACTTTCCGACGAGGGCTTTGTGACTGCAAATAAGACAGCTGTGGAAGATGTTCTTGCTACCTCACCCGAATGATATGGACAGTGTGAGCAGCGCGGTAAAGAAATGTCGATTGAAAGATTGGATCAACTTAACAGAGATACAAAATAGCAGGGTAAAAGAATTTAATTCTAAAGACACTGCTGGAGGTCTTCAGGTAAAGTCGACTTATTGTAATTAGTTGATGAAAGATAATGTCCGTAGCTCACAGATTCATAATGCTAAAATTTTCTCGAAAACCAGACAACATGTGAGGCTGTAATTCCACAGGCATGCTTGAAAATTTCTGTGGTATACGACACCTAAGCTGCAGAAAATGAACTAACGACCAGTTAGGAAGCTTGTAGGGATTCTCCAGGCAAAAATCTGATTATTGGTGTAGCAAATGGTCACGATTTCGGTTTCAAATCTTATGTGGATCAAAGGTATGAGTATATCTTTGGTATTCATTTTGTAGAGCTTGCTTCATTCTATCGAAAGGTGCCTCATACGTATTAATCTATATTCAGATGCCTTGGTAGCATATGTAGGCTGCGGACATCATTTCTGCACCAACCTTTGATCATGGAACATGCAAAAACAGCTGTGAACGATTAGTGGGACTGCCTTTCTTCCAAGTTTAAATAGTTGCTCTATTTTTAAACAAGATTATGACAAAACAGATTGCAAGCAGATGCAGAACAGTTCGAAAGATCTAAGAAGGGAAGGATAGTCGAAATGGCGTTTACATAGGAAATGTGTACAGCTCTTGCAGAGCATGGAACGCGAATTCCGAATCTGATTTCAGTATCTGTAAAGCGTTTCTGGAAGGGTGTTTATGGAGATTTTTTGTCGTAAAAATTTTACAGCTCATACAATAAAATATCGCATGGAGTCATGATTACTGCAAAAACGTTTCGTGCAGTTGATATCTTCCCCTTAATAAATTCAAGCTAGTGGTGACTCCATTCAAGCGCTTGAAAGACCTTAACGCTCGTTTTTACCCTAGCCAAAACCTTGAATTTGCTTCAAAAAATTCTCATAACTCCCATCCTAGAAGTGCTTTGTAGATAACGAAAGCAGATTTGAAATCAGCATTCGATGCCCTATAAGT